CCCCCCACCCCCCTACCCACCAGTCTCTGTTCAGGGTCTCAGATCAACTTGGAACGCTCCTGCAAATCTCCCTCCCTGACTGCTTCACCTCTACGCACCGAAAGCAGTGTTTCTCCAAAGTGGCTTCCCCGGGGGACAGACCCTCTCTCTGGGCCAAGAATCCCTCCCCCCTCTTGGAAGCCCCTTGCCCATTAGTACAGCCAGGGCCTCCCGATGGCACGTAGCCACGAAAGTGACTGTCGGCACCTCCCACCCTGCTTGCCGTGAGCCCCGGGTTTCTGAACATGGGGTGTGGTGCCGACGCGCCCGGCCGGGGCGCCCGACACACTGGAGCGGGGCGTGTCCCCAGTGGGATGGCTGGGGCTTGGCCTTACCCGTGCAGACGCCATTCTGCCGGATGAAGCCAGGGGGGCACCAGGCCCGGCCCTTACTGCTCAGGGCTCCGGGGCCCGGCCGGAGGGAGACCCAGGCCTGGTAAGAGCCCCTGGGGTTAGGGGTACGGGGCCGCAGCCAGGGCACTAAGGGGCCCCGGTGGCTGACAGTGGTCACATTTTGTTCACTCTGCTCTAGGGGGGTGCAGGTCTTGCCGTCACGGAGGAGGGTCTGGCCCGGCGGGCACAGGCAGCGGTAACCACCCTGGAGGTTTTGGCACTGGTAGGCACAGGTCCCGGGCTGCTGCAGGCACTCATTGATATCTGGAAAGGAACAAGTCCAGGCAGGGAGCCAGGGGCGGCTCAGGGCTCGCCACAGCTCCCCCCACCTCATCCCTCCCGGTCTCCCGCCTTCCCCAGAATCCAGCCGCCTCCCCCACTGCCTCCAGGCCTGCCCGCAAGCCTTGCCTCTCCCGGACCGCCTCCTGCCTCTGCTGCGCAAAGAGGCCCCAGCCTCCCCCAGCTCTGAGCCTCATCCCAGACTCCCCCCTGTACTGCAGCATCCCGGTGAGGCCCATTCTCCCTGCTAAGCCTCTCTGAGACCCACCCCACTCCTCCCCACCCTCCTCCTCCACCTCCTCGCCCCGGGCTCCCCGGGAAGGTTCGGTGCCAGACAGCGGCAGAGCCCTGACCCGCATACGCGGTGGGCGCACAGGCAGTGTTAGCTGCTGTTTGGGTTACTCGCAAAACTCAACGACACCCTTGTCATAAACACCCGCTGCTTGCGGGGTCAGCCGGGGGGTGCTGACCAGGGCTCCAACCAGGGGGTGAGTGGCCCCATACCTAGGCAGGGCAGGCCGGGGCCCTGGAGCCGGTACCCTCTGGGGCAGCTACAGCGGTGCCCGCCTGGGGTGTTCTCACAGATCTGGTTGTAGTGACATTCGTCCGACCGCTCCAGACACTCGTCCACATCTGGGGAGGCAGGGGTGCGGACAGAGGTGGGGCCGAGCCTCTCCCCCTGCCCCCAACAGACACAGCATGCCTCTGCACATCTGGGCCTCATCCCTGCCCCCTTCTCCAACCCGAGTGCCACCAGGTAGAAGGCCCATGCCTGCAGCCACCTCTCCTCATCACACCCACTTTGGAGGGTAAGAAGGTTCCGGATCCAAAAGAAAGAAGGGGCTTTGGAGGCAGAGTCCCGGGTTTGGGCTGAGCTCTGTCATATCCCTTAGTCCTTGAGCAAGGAATTCTCCCTGTCCTGGCCTCAGTTTCCTCATCTGTGCAGAGGGGTCAGGACGGGACCTCTTCACGGGGCCGTGGGGAGAAAACTGGATCACGTGCGTGAAGGGGGTAGGAGCCTGATTGGGGGAAAGAGCTCCAAGAACTGGTGAGAGAGGAGGCGGTGAGGGCAGAGGAGCCGCCTAGGTGGACAGGGCGCTCCCTGAGGCCACGGACGTGGGGTGACCTCCTCTTCTGAGTTCCAGTTCCACCAGACTTTGTCCCTTCACTAGGTGGTCCTACCACTCAGAGGAGCCGCCTGTCTGAGGAGCTGTGATCATGAGGGTCCTCAAATTGCCAGCGGCCAGGCCAGGCTAGGCCGGGCCAGGCCTCAGACCTCTTGAGTCCAGCTCAAGCTTTCTCCCCGGCCTCTCTGCTCCTTCTGCTTCCTCCGAAGGCCTAGAGTCCCCGTGGCACACAGCACCTCCTCCGCTGAACCCAGGCAACCACCGGAGCACGGACAGCCCCACCCATGTCACGCCCCTGTCACCTTCACAGCCGGCCCCGTGAGCGGCCACCCGGAAGCCAGGCCTGCAGTCGGGGAGGCAGTGGTAGGACCCGAAGAGGTTCACGCAGCGCTGTCCCTGCTGGCAAAGGTCGGCATCCCACGCGCACTCATCCACATCTGGCGGGGCGAACGGGGGCAGGGGGCTGTGTGAACGTGTGTCCCCCGGGCCCTCGTCACCACCCTGACCCTGGCCAACCTAACTGCACAGGCTTCATCCCCCGGCCCAGGAGCCCCTGGCAAGAAGGTCCGCACCTCTCCTGTTAGCTCTTTCCAGCATGTTGCCATAGGCCTTGGCCTGGGGCACCTGATAGGAGGTTGAGGACAGTGTCCCTCGGGCACCCAGCTCAAAGCCCAGTGGGGACTTGGCCATGCTAGGCCTCCCTGGTGGAAGCAGACGGGTGCAGAGGGGAGGGTCAGCATCTGGACAGCACCCTACGGTCAGATTTGTTGTCCAGAAGCTGTGTTAAGGGGACAGATGGGTGTCCACTGCGTTCCAACCCCAGCTGGCTGGAAGTGACTGCCATGTTAGGAAAGCGCCTGAGGCCGTGTCCGGGCTCGGCGGGCACGTATGCATGAGCACGCGGTGGGCACGTGTATGTCTTTGGGGCTCCCCAGCACCCCCAGGACTTGAGCCTCTCTGATCTGCAGCCCTCCTAGCAGGAAGTTCCCAGGGGAAACGGGGCATCGCCACCCCCAGGCTGGCATCTGTGCCATCGGGAACGGGCCAGGTCCTGAGGCGGGTGCCCCTGGCCAGGGTCCCGGCTGTGCAGCGCCCCCCACACGCCCAGGCCAACTCCCAGGAGAGCCTCTGCACCCGGGCCCACTCACCTCTGCAGTTCCTGTCATCCCTGGCCAGGGCAAAGCCGGCTGGGCAGGAGCAGGAGAAGCGGCCAGGTGCGTTGTGGCAGGAGTGAGAACAGGGGCTGGGGCCGGCCGAACACTCGTCCCTGTCTGGGAAGAGGGGGGTGGGCGGGATCTGGTGGTCTGCACCCACAGGCCCTCCTGCCAGCCGGCCGGGACACATCATCCAACCCCGGCTGAGAGGCCTCCCTCGGCCATGCCAGGGGAGGGGCGGGCACTCACCCACACAAAACTCTCCCTGGGTGTCCAGCTCGAAGCCCTCTGGGCAGCCGACTTCATTCTCTTCTGCAAGGCGAAGGGGGTAGGTCCTAAGCACGCAAGGGCACCGTACCAAGGCGCCCCGGGACAGACAGCAGCCCCGGCCGAATGCGCCTCCCTCCTGCCAGCCTGGGCAGGCCGATGTCCCCTCGGCCCTGAGCCAGGCCCGTGCCCAGCCAGTCGGCGAGCCTGTTCCCAGCTCAGGCCTGGTGGAGGCGCTGGCTGTGGCTCGTGCCACACGAGCTGGCCGGACTGTAAACTGACAGACGCAGGGGAAATCATGAAGGAAAAGTAGGACACGGGATGCCCACCGGATGCCCATGTGTGCGAAAGTGCACTCTGAGAATCCAGAGGAGTGGGCGTGGCCCCCGGCTGTGCCCGGGGTGGGGGGTGTGCAGAATGGGCAAATGACAGCATCTGATGGGGGCAGCGAGCACACCGAGGGGTGGCGGCAGGCTGCGGTCTGGAGACAAAAAGACCAACTACCGAAATCAGTGTAAGGACAGCATGCTGGACAGAGCAATCGATCCCCGGGTGCCC